GGGCGCAGCCGAGCCCCCGAGCGCACATGGGCGCCGCAGATGTGGCCGCGGCGCCGCAGCTGGAGCGGGAGCGGCCGCCAGAGGAGCGCGGGGAGGAGGAGGAGGAGGAGAAGGAGGAGGAGGAGAGGGAGGAGGAGGGCTTCAGTGGCCGCCCGGAGTTACCTCCACGCTTGGCTCCCCCGCCCTTGCCGCCCGGAGCCACTCACCCGACGAGCCACCTCCCCTCCTCCCCGAGTTCCTTCGGGCCGTGGGCCGCGCCTCCCCGCGGTGGAATCCTGGGGTGGACTGGCTCCAGATGGGGTTCCCGGGTACACGGGGGTTGTCACCGTTTGGAGGTGACCTGGGCGCCCCTCGGGAGTCCGCGTCGGCTTGCGGGAGTATGCCAAGGAAGAGCCGCTGCTGCTGAGGTCCTGCGGTCGGTGAGGGCAGAGCCGGGGTGTGCACTGAAGCTCGGGACTGTGGGAGGGTATGGGTTCCCGGGCGAATTAGGAAAGCTTTATTGACAAAGTGGAGTTGGAGTTGCAGTGGAGAGCAGAGGGGACGCCGGATAAGCCAGGTGTCTACGACTGCGCGCCCTTGTCTGAAGCAGGCGTGCGAGTGTGAATTGAGGGAGACGATAAAGTGTCCTTCCAGAAGAGTCTTGACACTTATTCTGGGCTGTGGACAGCCCGCTCCCAGAGCAAAATTTGCTCACGTGCGCGAGACTCCCAATAGAGCCTGGGAAGCAAGGCGAGTCCGATTCGCTGGGTTTCGGTCGGGTCAAGCTCGCAGGTGTCACGGTTGGATGCGTTCCCTCCGTCTGGCGCACGGAACGTGGGCAGATAACTAAGGGCAAATCTCAGCTTAAGCAGTCGCGGATCAAGGGACTCATCCCGGGGGCGCCGCGCCGGGAGGGCACCTGGAGGCTGCCGTCGCGCAGCCGCCGCTCCTGGGCCACCGCCTCATGACCGCGCTGCAGCCTTCGGCTCCCGCGCGCCGCTCATGCCGCGCAAAGCAGCAGCTGGCGAGTGGAAGCGTTCTTGGGTCGGGCTGAGGACCCTCGGTCTTCACCTCGGACGCGAGAGCGAACTGGGGCGGATGAGTGAGCTCAGATCACTGTAGTGGCATCTCTCGTTTCCCACTCTCGTTCTTGCTCTGACTCCCGCCTTCCCAAAGTGGCTCTGAGTGGCGGACGCTCTGTTTGGCTGGGACCTTTTATACAGCGATTCCCCCGCCTCCCACCCAGTTTCCTCCTTCCCTCCACCCCCGTGCTAGCTCAGCCCTTCTTTTCCCTTCCCGTGAGCGGTGCTCAGTCTAGGCGTTCGCACAAGTCCATGTCGCAAATTTCCATGCCCATCTAGATTCCCAGGCTCCAGTCCTCCCGGTTCACCCTTGGTTACTGAAATTAAATAAACCTTTCTCGCCTACACCCCATTCCCCGCTCCTTTCTTCCTTTCTGCTCTGCTCTACTCTCCTTCCTTGCTACAGACCGAAGATACTTAAATCAACTACCTTCCAAGTTCGTATCTTTATGCAAGGCACCGCAGCCAAGACTTACTCACACATTAAGACAAGAAACATTTTCATTATTCCGGAAGTTCCTCAGATCACCGTGGCATTTCGTACTATTTAAATTAGAAGTGGTTAAGTCTATCTAGGTGTGCTGGTTGGGAGAAGGAAGGGCTAGTTGCCACTGTAAAGATTCCTTGAGTGTTTATTTTTAACCAGTATTAACAAATGTATTAATGAATTTGCAGTTGTTTGTAGAACATGCTATATAGTTTCCTTTTTAGTAATTTGGTGGGGTGTGGTGGGGGGGGAATGATTAGGGTAGAAAGAGGATCTTTTTAAGAGGAGCGCTTACTTTGAATTTTTAGGTGCTGTCAGACATCCTACTGTAATATCCACACTCTAAAATGTCAGTAATGGTTAACTGGAGCACTGGGGAAGAATTCGAAACAATAGACCGTGGCTGGTTCAGATGGGAGATCAAAGAGGGGATCCCAGAAGCTTTGAGATCCCACCAGGATCCTCCTGTGTGTTTTCTAATTAAAATCACTTAGAAAGTGAAAGAGGGAGGGAGCATCAACACTTGGATGAAATACATGTATTAAGACGCAAACAAGAATCCTAGCCCCAAAGAGTTGAAGGCTGCCTGTCCAGTAATGCTAGAGTATGATGTGGGTGTGCAGGGACAAATGACTTTCCTATTGCCTCAGGCAGCCTGGTCTAAATTAGGATCCAGGGGCTTGCTGTGTCCTGCATTTTCATCACACAAAGTCCCCACATGTGAACTTCAACTGCTTTTCCTCTCGTCTAAAATTAACATTTTTGAATCCTAAGGAAAAATAAAATCTCTGGAAAGAAATCCTTGCAGTCATTGTAAACTCTTGTAAATTTGTAGAGGGAGATTTGGAGATCAAAGTGCTTATAAAATGTTGTAAAATTTTTAAATTGAATTTGGGGTAGAGAAGTCTTTATAAAACACTGAACAAATGTATGAATGAGTCCTATTAAAAGCCTTTCACGCTGTGAGATACAAATTCCAGGTGAGTTTATGTTCTAGTGAGCACACATGACTCTGGCAAGCACACATATATCAACTAGTATTGATAAATGTCCATGTTCTGTGACTAAAGTCATAAGCAAGACTAAAATGTTTGTGGAGAAAGAATCACAGATATAACAACCTAAACAAGTTAAATTTCAAGTGTATTTATACCAACAGCTGATGTAAGTTTTATGAATTCTAACTTCCTTCATCAGAGTTCTCATAACACCTTATTAATATCTTTATTATCAATCTTACTATCCTAGTAGAAAGTGTCTCTTTGCATGTCTGTATCCCAGACATGGATCACCTTTGTTATAGAACATTCCAGAACATATGCCCCACTTGTACCACAGGCTGTCTCCCTCCCGAGAGTCCAGTTTACTTCTTCCTGGGTTCACAGCTAGAGGTTATTTTCCTGCAACAGCAGGTCTAAATGGGACTACAAAGAGCTCTGTTACTTCTAGGTCTGCCAATAAAATGCCACGAGTGATCATTTATATTAATTCTCTCCTTCGTACATTCAAAGGATTCCAAGGTGGAAGGAGCCCAAATCTGTGAGTTACTACTCCAAGGAGAATTACTAAACCAGAAATACATGCTTTTAACCTTACACAGTGATAAATAAAGCTTTGTTCTTCAAAGCTTTCACTGTGAGTCTGGGATGTTTGTTATAGCAGCTAGTATTACACATCCTGACAAGTGCAACCTTCAATGCAGGAACACCTACCCCAACTGATTATGATGCCTTGCATAGAGAAGTTACTCAACTAGTGTTTATTTAATTAATGTAACAGATGAAATTTATATTTAAATACTACCCTATAAATTAACTCTCCGTGTAGAGTTTCCTACTATAAAAGAATTATCTGTAATGAATATTAATTACTTTAATGAATATTAATTCTTCTGTCTTAGCGATACCATTTTCTTATAGATTCTGTCTTTTTATGTTCTGTCCACTTATTTTAAAGGCAAATTTATTTGACTGCAATATTTGGAGAAAGTAAGAAGAATTAGCAACAAGCTAGAACATGTAAATTAAATGACAGTGATGAAAACTCTGCTTGGTTTATTATGATCACGATTTTATTGTTTTTACTTAATTTTTTACTAAAAACTTTTGCAAGAAAATAGTTTTATTATATGCTTTTGAAAAATTTATGAAAAGTTAAAAATACTTGTGTTTATATAAATATACATTTATTATATTATTTATGATGTTTATCATGTAACACACAGTATGTATTGCATATACATATTACATATTACATATATATGGGGAGATTTACAGTATAATTATATATCACATACCATGTATTATATGAGATAATATATGACACACATTGAATGTTTATTATATATGATTGTATATAATATTTTGTATATTTATGTCATATATTTTTATATTTTATATACATACATACATATATATATAGTTGTTAATGGAAGGAAGGATTAGTTACTGCTTTGAAGATTCCTTGAGCATCTTTAAGTTTCTAATTAGGCCTAGCATATCATTAATAAATTGGCAACTGTTTATGGAGTACATATGTTTCCCTTGTCAGTATTTTTTTGATGGGGGAGGGTACAAAAGAGAGATTTTATATATAATTGTAAAGAGTATAACAAATCTTCATATACTAATCCAGCTTTAAACAAAGCTTCTGGTCAGTCTTGTCTCATCCATAATCTCATATACTTCCTCTCATGATTTTGAAACAAATTGGTAACAGCATTTCACTTGGACATATTTCCTTATGTTTCTCCAAAGGTAAGAGCTCAATAAAAATCATTTTAACATGGACATACTGTACATGAGCTTTAAAACAGACACAAGAAACCAAAACCAGAATATTTTCTGCATGTAAAATTATTAGCAGCTTCCATATGACCCAGCAATCCCACTTGTAGGTATCTGCCCAAAGACACAAAAACACTGATTCAAAAAGGAACCTGCACCCCATGTTTATTGCTGCTTTATTTACAATTGGAAAAACATGGAAACAACCTAAATGCCCAAAAGTG